GGCTATTAACTACCACTAAAAGCTCGAGACAGCTAATTAAGGGCAAATGGTTGATTGATTATGCAACACTTACTTGATGCAATTACACAAGGGGCAATTAAGCAAGCTGAGTAGAGGTGTAATTTGCGTTAATTTCACGAGTCAAAAGCATTTACTCACTGAATCTGGGATTATAAATATAGTAAAATTTAAACGCTATGCCGACAGATGGAAATTTGTATCACGATAGCTAGAAGTATTTGATACGTTTCAAATCCTATTTCGTTTAACGATTGCTGTTTTACATGTTACCTAGATCAGCGACACCAACACACAGCTCCACTTTCTGGTTTTCAAGTGATTTACTAAGAAAATCACTTAATTATGGGGCACGTTTTTGGTTGGTGATTGCTCATTAATGTGTGTATGTTGCATCAATAACAGGTAGGTATGGTCGCCGATAATGGAGTAATTAGCCTCTGTAACGTCTGCCATCAAACGCTGAAGTTTTACAAGCGTGTTCCTGGTGTGAAGGTATCGCATTGGGTGATAAGTAACGGTTTAACTGGCGCAATACAACTTTGTCCCAACTTTTAGGCAATCCCGTGGCCCTCTGTATTTCTACACAATATGATATGCGACAAGGTGTGACCTGGAATACGCTATAATTATACACGTTACGCTCTGTATTCAACACAGGTAAAAGTCATTCATTGCTGATGTGAATATGATGGTTGTTCAAGTACATAAAGGAATATATTTTCCGCATATGCACATTGACCGTACGATCCTTACGTATTATGTAGGTTGGTGTCTGGTGCAGTTGTTAGGCTTTCCGAAATGGTCTTGTCTAACCTCCTCAGCCACCGAGGCTTCCCCAAATATGAAAGTCCGACAACTGGTAGTCCAGGGGCGCGTTGCAAGCCACGAATCGCTTAGAGTGAGTGAGTGAGTGAGTATGGTTTTACGCCGCTTTTAGCAATATTCCAGCAATATCACGGCGGGGGACACCAGGAATGGGCTTCACACATTGTACCCATGTCGGGAATCGAACCCGGGTCTTCGGCGTGACGAGCGAACGCTTTAACCACTAGGCTACCCGACCGCCCCCGAATCGCTTAGAGAAAGCAAATTAATCGCTCATTCCGGGGTCTCCAACAGTTCGAAGCGCATGCGCACTCTTCCAAAATGGCAGCGCAACTACCGCTTGGTTGCCTTGACGTAGAAGAACGTCATAAAAGAGGCTCGATGACGAGCTGATGAAATTTATGACTACTTTGAAGATGTAGAACAGTCTGAGGATGATGGGGTGTTAGCTACCTTTGCTCATTTCTTTGTTGATCCAGTCAAGAATTTCTTGTTCCTCTGTCAAAGTTAGCCGCAATTTTAGACCGAAGCAACCTCAGCCAGCGATTGTTTCGCTTGCAAGCGGCTGAAAGTTAGCGCACTGTTGTAAGGCGAATCGCTGTACATCGCTTGCAAGCGATTCGTGCTTTGCAACGCACCCCTAGATCACGTACCCCTCTCACAAATGTAAATTGGCACGGCTCCCATGGCCAAAAGCTATGAATACACAATGCCATTTAGAAAGTGGTCAAATGTAACAAATGTTATTTTACAAAATGCCATTTAGATACTGCTTGGATAGGCGGATTCTGCTTTTGAAAATGAACTTACCCCCTAAGAAATCAGAGTTCGGCGATCCAGCTCTTGCTGCACAATGTAACTCGGATGTAGAGTAAACTTGAACTGATGATGGTGAGTGCAAAATGTGACGTAATAGTGTGCAGTCATTCTGACGTCATTTCACGAGACAACAAGGCATTTTGTCACAACATTGGAAAAATGTTTGCGAAACGTTTGTGTGATATCAGATTTTACAAACGTTTTAAGAACATGTCAAAAACATTCTTTTTTGTGATAAATTTTCAAAAACGTTTTAAGACATTTAAATAACGTAGAGCGAATGCGTATTTTACCATAGATCTATATTTATTCACTTCTCACGCCCCCGCAAAATATGAGCGACTAAATGTAATTGCCTGTGACACTATCTGTGATCAGCAACAAACAAATCATGTGAAGTTTTGTCTTACTCATATCTGCTACATTTTCCTTCGACATTTAGTCTACAGATTAATGTTATATTACTGCATTACCAATCCACAGAATTATGAAAACGGAGTGTGCTAGCAAGGGAACTTGTGTTCAACTAAAGGTTGTTGGGGTCGTAATCGGTACTCACTTTAATTCATGGTTATAACATTTCATAAAATATGTTCTAGCATAACATTTCTGCAATGTGTTGAAAACATTGCAATAACATGTTATGAAAGAGTATCGCCTATGTTATAGCATGATGTTCTTGAATAACATTTTAAATACATTTCAATAACATTTTGAATAATTATAAAACATTTACACCTTATTCAGATTATTTTACATATATGTACACAAAGTATTTAAAACATGATGATAACATTTCATTAAATATGTTTTGGCAAAACATTTCTGCAACGTGTTCAAAACATTGTAATAACATGTTATGAAACAGTTTCGCCTATGTTATAGCATGATGTTCTTGAATAACATTTTTAAAACATTTTAATAACATTTTGAATAGTTGTAAAAATTTCTAAAACGTTCATAAAATGTTTTGACGAAAATGATTTTGAAAAACTACAATGAAACCTTTTGAAAATGTTTTGAAAATGTTATGTGTTAGCTGGAAGGGGATTTGAAAGTCCATCAGAAAACAATACCCTTCGAAAGTCCACGAACTTAAGTGACAGCTTGTCAAACTTGATGAAATTCATTTCAGGACACGCACTATTAAGAAAATCATACACAACCCATTATTTCTGGGCCACAAATTTCTCATTTCATTCACGCTCTGGCTTTGAATCCATAAAATCTTGAAATTGACAGGTCACACCACTCAGACACCTCGTGTCAAAATATCCGGCTCGTCTGCAGGCTAAAAAGCGGCGGTTCAGTCATACTCAGTTCCATTTGTAATCATATTGTACCAACAGGCTCGATCATTCCCAGTACATCTTCAGGTTAATGTCGAACCACATCATACATCGGGGTTGTCATCTTGCTTCATTTAACTAGTTACGGAGAATGTTAACACAAGATTGTCAGCCATTGACAGCAGTGAGGTGTGAGTAACCTGATGTAGGTCAAGTTCTGCCACATCCAAGTTCGGGATGGAAAGGCTAACTAATAACACTTACATATTGTTCGATGTATAATAGAATGTTAATTCATAAAGTTTGTTGGAGAAATATATTCGTTTCGCATTTTAAGACCTTTTTGTTTTATAACCTGTGTGTATAAACTGCCAAACAATCACACAACATCATTGTATATAACATTTGAATACATTTCGGATAATGTGTGCCAAGAATTGTATGAACAAAATAAGAACATTTTTACCTCACGTGTGTCCACGGTCATTACATAAGCGTTCATGCACACAACTCGTTTAGCCTAGGCTCTTTGACGTCTCTGCAAAGAGGGCGGTCGGGTAGCCTAGTGGTTAAAGCGTTCGCTCGTCACGCCAAAGACCCGGGTTCGATTCCCGACATGGGTACAATGTGTGAAGCCCATTTCTGGTGTCCCCCGCCGTGATATTGCTTTAATATTGGTAAAAGCGGCGTAAAACCACTCACTCACTCACTCTGCAAAGAAAACAACGGAAGTCGACACTTCGTGCTCTCTCCCTCTCTTTAATAATACACGCATGCTAAATATGCTGAAAGAAGTTGGTTAAAGCATGACTGCCCCTCGACAGAAAGTTTGTCGCTGTTTCCATTTGCACTAGTATACTAATATACATTGAACAGTATTATCAAGCTAGCTAAAGCACACACATGCTTGTTTATTGGCGTACAAACAACAAAAAACGATTGGAAATTTGAATTCGGATTAAATGGTGTTTACCTGCTTCGTTCTGGGCTGGTTCGTGTCAGTGTCACAAGGATTATGGACATCCCCCTTTAATTGGGAGATGTAGGAGCCGTGGTAATTGAATCCTATTCATTGTCAGTGATACATTTACAACGATAGCAAAGGATTAGAGGTCTAAACGTCTCCATTGTTTACGTTGTAGGGGTCAAATTCAAGTTTCAGTGAAAGAGTATTAAAAAAAAGGTTTATCACAAGCATTACCATTGGAAAATGAAAGAATAATTATCCCATAACCAGCGTAACTGGTGGAAGAATTGCTTTGTTCTTTCAAAGATGTACAAATAGACACGTTTGCAGCAATGTAAAGTAAAGACCTTACTGTGGTGTATCTGGTGAAGTCAGTAGTGGACCAGAATGCCTATCAAAGAAGTGGAGTTATACTAGGTTCCATCCTGCTACCTATGTAATTCCAATCCGAGACATCGCATGCAATAAGAACCTCATGTCAAGGCCACACGCTCACTGCCTCGTCGCTATATGGCTGAGATAATGCCGATGCGACGTTAAATTTTAACTCACTCCAGTATGTGCACACTGACCAGGTGATGCATGCATGTGTCCACAGCGGCTTAATAAGGCTTTCGTTCAGCATGACACTTTTCAATGCCAAGCCAATATTTTGCATTGCCAGATTGAATGAAACTTTTAGTACTAGACTTAATGCTGAATAATGTTATGATCAAACTTGCCATATATTTTGACATTTATTTCCATGAAAGGAGAAACTGAACACGACAGCATCAAGATGAACATTTTGTTTTGCTTTGTAAAATAAAAACGCCAACGCCAGAGACGCCAGATTCCATTGGGCGAAAAAGGCAAAACAGAGGTGAAATTTATATGAAAGGATCACTGAAAATCAGTGATGTCACCAGGTGTTCGCGTAAAACCTGAAGCTGAATAATATTTTCCAGTATTTCCTGCAACAATGTTTTTAGGTTATATATAAGGCAGTGTTTGAAATGGTCAATCCCTTAGCATTGCATAGAAGAGGGTCGATAATACTGATTAAAAATTTAGTTAATATTATCCTCACTGTCTTTCAGATTTCTATGACCTTTGGCCTCGCTATCATGACCTTGATACAGATGATCGGTCACGTGTCTGGAGGCCACGTCAACCCCGCCATCACCATCAGCTTCGTGGTGGCTCAGAACATCTCCGTCATCCGGGGACTGTTGTACATCCTGGCCCAGTGCTGCGGAAGTATCGTCGGTGCATACATTTTGAAGGCGTAAGTATATTTAGACATTGGTTCGCCTGCTATAATCCAATCACATGTCTGGATACACCCTAGAAGATGCGGGATAGAATTGATCTTCAGCAACCCATGCTTGCTGAAAGGGCCCAGTCACACATTCAGGATTTTTACTGCCGTCCTTGATAGGACCATTCGCGATTAAGATTTGTCAAAAGACTGATCAAGATCCTGTGATTCGTGGCGGGAAATTCACAAACAATCAGATATTGTTCAGAAAGCTTCACAATTCAGCCGTTTCCAGCCGAATCGTCCGATTTTCCAAATCTCTATCCGTATCTGATACGATTTGTATCTTCCCCATGGTAAAAAACGACCGAATCTGTCCCAACAGCGTCCCAATTCTCCCAAACGCGACCCGACAGAGATCAGTGACCGGACAGTGAACCGACAAAGACTGTTCGCATTCGGCAAGATCTGGACCCAATCGACAAGAGACGGCAATGAACAATTTATGCCCGTTCATCACGAGAATGTCCCGATCCACAGCACACCGTCCAGACAGCATAGGACATTGTTACGATTTTGATCTGATACAGCAGAATATGTTACAACATAGTAGCGATTGTAATCCGACTAAACAAAAACGGCTGAGCTTCCTGAATGTTACGGGACACACCACACTGTCGGGAGTGCTTGGCCGACCTCTATGGACCTTTACCTATCCGTAGGACTCTCTTACGAACGTATACGACTTCATTCAGACAATGATAGGACATTCCAGATCGTTGAGGATAATAATCCGACTTTTTCACTTTTCGCTGTCTGATCTCAAACGAGAGCCATAATCGGCACTGTGTGAACCTGGCCTAACGGGATCGGGTGGTTAGACTCGCTGACTTGGTTGATGCATGGCATCGTATTCCAATTGCATAGACAGCAACAAACAAACACACAAACATGTCTTGATAATTGAACATGAACATTGTATGTTAATGCTATGTACGAAAATCTCCCTTCAAATAGTGTCCTCCGAAACGAGCCCTTCCCGCGCCGTCCGTCCTAGTTAAAAGCTTATACACGTATGACCCCGAGACCCAGGAAGGGGGGACTCTTTGCCCATTATGTCAACCATTGTTTTTCAAGTTGAAGACCGAAGCCAGCGGATACCCTGAGGGTTGTACCGATCCTGATGCTTACATCCAAGACATATATCAGAAAGAAGGCATCGTCCTGAACAAGGCCAACATCAAGAAGAACCTAGGATTTCGAGCTGTTGGCAAGGCCTGTCTTAATTTGCAAGTACTTTGCTCTGTTGAAAGATGAACGAAATACCATCAACGATGTCATGGTCATCCATGAACATATGGTGTTGGTGAACTATACCTCCAAGAAAGAATTCCACACGCCACATCCTAATTCCAATGTCGCCGTGGCTGCTTGGGTCACCCAAGACCTGACGCGTAACACGACCTGCAAAGTGCGTGGTTTCACCTTGAATTACAGAGCCCGTCAACACCTCATCTTTGACACCATGAAAGACCTGATTGTTGGACAACGGTCTGGGGATATAATCAGGGTGCGTCACCCTCATCAGATCATGCGTGCAGGACTTCACCACCGGAACGATCTTCTGACCCAAGCGACCACAAAAGACTACCGCATCCTCTACAGTACAAGCACAGGTCTGTCTGTAGACACGGTCCCCTTTGGGTACAGAGACTAGACATTTTTTTTTTTTAAAGATGTTCTTAACATTGTGTTGGCTGTTGGCGCTTTATCTTGAAGACATGCGTGTTCGGAGAGAGTGTCATGCACTGTTTACTTCAATCCGTGAAACCATTGAAGAAAACAACGGTCCGAAAGTGGATCGAAATGCAACCATGAGAAGCTAGGGCTTTTGACCAATCAGAGGCCGCAAACGCTCTGTACGGCCCTCTGATTGGTCTAACAGCGGTTGTGCTTTCTCTCCCATGGACCATGCCTTTTCCTATGGAAAGGAAACACAACGTCTGTGCCAAACTGGGTTCCGTGTGGGTCAGAAACCAACCAATGAGAAAGTCGGGTTTTTCGTCTAATCAGGAGCATGGTTTCAGTTCCTTAAAACCCACAGACACTCTCTTGTCATAACTTTTCCTACAGCTGTCCAAGCAACAACATCATCCATCTGATTGATGTTCTTAACGTTGTGTTGGCTGTTGGCGTTTTATCTTGAAGTGACATGTGTTTGGAGAAAGTACCATCAAGTGTTGACTTAAATCCGTGAAGACTTGGAAGAAACAACAGACAGAAAAGTGGATTGGCAACATCATGGCAAAACTTATGAATGTCAAGACACTGACCATCATGTGCGGCGAAGGGAGCGGTAAATTTCGGGATGAAGTATATGACATGTTACGTACGAAGATAAGGACGGGTGACGAGACATTGCAATCGAGGTATGTCATCTTGGTGCCCAGCGTGGCACAAGCTGTGGCCAACACAGAAAAACGTGTTGGAAACAGGAAGCAGAACCAGACTGAACCCAAGAAAGTAGCACCGAAGAAGAAGAAGATAAAGAAGACCCAGAAGAACAACAACAGCAGCAGCAGCAGCAACAACAGCAGACAGTGAAACGGAAGTGACAGAATTTTTGAAACCTGCAACACCTGCAAAAAGGAGACCACGGAAGAATTTGTCTCTGAAGATCCCTCATCAAGAACAGCTGTACCATGCTATTTTACTGGATGTGGATGTGTATGCCTTTATTATTATTATTATTATTGTTATAATGAGTATAACGAATGCATGACTTATGAAAAATGACAGGACACCCATCCTTCCTTCCACCGATGTCAGTTCAATACAGTCCGTGTTGGAACAGTGGTGGGAACAAACCCCTCGGAAACCAACCTATTCACCTAACCCACCTGTGATGATGATCAGTGACGATGATGATGATGAAGCAGCAAGTTGGCAGCACTCCCTTCCATGGAGGTGGACACACCCACCCTGCTTGATGTTTTGCCACCACCATCACCGGAGGATGTTGATGTCTTCTCTTCAGGTATGCCAGCGGTTCGCGACGAGGACAACGACGATCCTTATGGAGAAGCTCAACTCACTGAATGTGGTGTCTGCCGCCATAACAACATGTTGAAATACATGAGCTGCACCAGTGGTCAAGTGATGTGTCATGTCTGTTTCAGGGAGGCCATAGACCGTACCTGTTTTACTGAGGGGTCCCAAACATTTTTGGGACCTGTTTGGGACTGTATGATGAATGACCACATCTTGTGGTGACCCCATCTTCGCTTAAAGATCTTGAAGATGGAAGATGGAAGATGACAGGTTTTCGCGTTCCTTGAGGGACATGTTAAGCACTGGCTTGATTTTGTTGTTCATGATTAAACAGTGATTGATTGAAATGACTCTTTGTCTCTTGACTTATCTCAACTCCAATAGGGTGCCCCCCCCCCCAAAAAAAAAAAAGATAAAAGAGAAAGGCCATGCTTGAAAGGATCAGTTTCCCTGTGTCAGTTACCCAGAACTCAGGATGGCGTCACGTGGTGTTGAAGAGGTCATGACCTCACCCTTGACCCTACGACACCCTTTCACGATGTTCATTGCTGGGGCCTTCATAAAAAAGCATGGGTTCCTTCAGTTGAGCAACAGCCATCATTGGGCAAAGACGCTCTATGAATGCCATGCCACCATTACAAGATGTCCCTGATACCGAGTTGGTGTCTGAAAAGGTGAGGGAACAAGCGACAATGGCACATGGCAACTCAGTGACATTCTGGAGGCACGACCTACTCCTTCTTACACCTTGTGTCATCCTTCTCATCCTAGCTATGATCAATTTCAGCAACGTCTGCGGTCTTTTCAAACGTGGCCTAAACTGATGGCCCAGACCCCTTATGACATGGCCATGGCTAGCTATTTCTATCATGGTAAAGGTGATAGTGTTATCTGTTATTGCTGCGGTGTGACATTGTCAGTGGGAAGCCACAGACAAACCCTGGAAAGAACATCTGAAGCAGCCAAAGCCCCCTGTGAATATGTGTGTGTGTTTTGTCCTGATGGAGAAGTGAACGAAAAATACAGACGTCTGTTGTCCGAAGAAGCATCTAAGAGAAGAGCAGAGTGTTTTGTTCAATCCCAGTGACAAAGTTTCCTGTTCACAAAAATCACAGGGACGACCCTCATCCTGTGGCTTTTGTTTTGTATGTTGGTTCATGTGAGTGGGAGAAGTAAAAAAAAAGAGTTGAAAAACAAAATGTGTTGTGTTGTCTTTAGGATGTGGATCGGCATGCACACCCGAGGAAAAAAGAGGATGAAAATGCACACCCAAGAAAAAACGGGATCGAAGAGGCTCTAATCAGAAGCTTGGATTTTCGAACAATCAGAGGACACAACCGCCCTGTGGTGGTCTCTGATTGGTCGAATGAATTAATTACGAAACAATAAGAAGGAATATCATATCCATCATGTGAAGAGATATGTGGAAGTATTTCTAAATATATACCAACAACATAGTGAGACCATGTTAATAATCAAACCCCGTGGCGAACCCCACGTCGCCTATCATTTTCGTAAGAGGCGTCTCAATGGATGGGTGGTCCGACTCGGTAACTTGTGTACCATTGTATCTGGACCGCATGGATCGCTGCTCACAATGAGGTGAGGTGAGGTGAAATTGGGTTTAACGTCGCGTCCAAAATTATTGCACTTATATAGCGACGTGCATGCACGGGTGTGCTTGTACAAGTCCGGACTGCTGCCGACTTACAGTGCTATCACACTGAGATACCATGCTGCAGTGTAACGTGAATACCCCATTCAGACACAGTATACTGACTCCGAGCCGCCCAGTCCTTGTTTTAGCCCATTAATGCCGAGCGTCAGACAGGATAAGCACAAGTACCTTATTTTAACGTCTTTTGGTGTGACGCGGCCGGGGAACGAACCCCGGACTTTCCGGGTGGACGCTCTACCATAAGACAACGGACGCGGTCGTTGCTTACAATGTCAATTAATGGTTTGAGTGGTTATGTCTCGATTATGTACGTGGAATATTGCTTTGTGTGGCGTTAAACAACAAACAAGCTTTAATATTCAAAGCTCGTTCAGTAAAACAGGAAGAATTACGATCTAATCAACTATTGTAAAGACATGTAGCTGAGTACAAAATATGTGCTGGATATAACATAAATTAAATTGTGTGTGAGTAACATAACTAGTCTATTACAGGTTTAATAAACCAGAATATATGTACGTCATTAGGGTAAATTGAAACCCATAATATTTATTACATTACAATTTCTGATCTTTCTAGGATAGCCTCACTTCACCAAGAGTTTTCTTTTCCAAATTTCGAAGTACATGTACAATGTTATTCGTTCGAATCTGACATATACATGTATCTTTGCGTTTATGATTTGTTGTATTCCAACCATCTCGTAGTTGTGAATATTTATTGAGGAATCGATATTTTTCCAGCAACCTGTACTTTTCTTGTTCAGTTATATCTTGTTAATATAACTACGCCAACTCTCCAAAACCAACCGTTAATATATATTAAAACGAAAATAAACATCTTTGTTAAAGCACTAGTTATGGACGTGGATTGTCTCTTTAGATGTAATTGCAAGCTGGTATACATTAAATTCATACCCAAAAGCAATGTCTGACAAGTCATATCTGTAGATACATGTAATTCATAAGTGTAATCATTTGGTACATTATGTTGCTTTATAATGTTTAGTGTATATCGCCATCATCTCTCCATGTTTCTTGTGCTGGGATCTTCATATCACCGCTTGAACTACAGACAATAAATCCCATGAACCCCCGCACGTATTCGCCGTTCTTCCATCCTAGACGTGGCCCAGGACTACCATGGAAAATATGAATGACCTGAGCAAATTCAGCCATCTCTATGGTTAATTGTAGACTTTACAAAATCTAATATATAAGAACAACATATATTTTATTAATCGCTATGAAAGCTTTTTTGTTTGTTTTTTAATGTATTTACTGGAGCATTGGCTATCTTGGTCTGTTAATTACAATCAAATTTGTAAAAATCGCCAAAAATATCCACAACACAATATCACATAAAGAGAGTTTAATAGGGAAGTGAATAATATGTTTTGAAATCGGTGATGAATTAATTACTTTCATATACTTTTTACTTCTAAAATGGGATACAATGGGACATTACACGAAATGTCGTTTTTGAAAGCCAGGTCTTATTATATAGCTCACAAGAACGGATGTCGCAGCCAAGAGAGCGGTTTCCTGTATGTAAACAAATGCACGTGTAGGTTTGAATTCATCACATTTCTGTTATATGTAAACACTGCCGGAACTGACAATCTACAATTTTCCACATTTTTTTCAACAAACGCATACTGCCAAAGTTAATTTAAATATTCGGGATCATATTGATCCAAGTACACATATCGCGCATTCTGATTGGCTTGCGCCCATTCGTCACCGCTCGCCCCTTTCCACAATCTGCAAGAAGACTCGCCGCGTGTGACTTACAGCACTTCCGTCAAAGAATCCTTCAGGAATGTTTTTGGATTTTACATACATCTTGTATCTAAAAATATACCCAAGATACAGTTAAATGTGTTCAATCATTACGTAAAATAACTTAGGGCCGATGTGTTTTAAATAGCATCTGCAATATATATGAAATATGGGGGAAAGAGACGTTGGAAGTAGTCCCATGAGTTGACAATTCTTCAAGTTTTGGCCGTTTGCGCTTAGACGGAACCCCGTCGCAAAAATGGCCACGAGAGGGGCACAAGTTTGGCTTATCCCGGAATAACACGAGTTGGTCATGAATGGTTGGTTGGTTGGTTCGTTGGTTAACGCCGCACTTAGCAATATTCCAGCTATATGACGGCGGTCTGTAAATAACCGAGTCTGGACCAGACAGTCCAGTGATTAATATGAGCATCGATCCACGATGACATGGATTAACCAAGTCAGCGAGCCTGACCACCCGATCTCTATCATGTAATGGGTATGGTGAGAATGTAAGGGGGCAGTTGGGGGCAGTTGGTAAGCTTTTCTGTTAGACTGCAATCTCGAACCGAAATTAAATCCTCTGTGCTTCTAACTATCGCTATGAGGAACTTGAATTCCTATAGAACTGTAGAAAAATCCACACGATGAAGGGAGTTAAGATAACACTGCCAGGAGCTCATACAAGGGACCTTACTCTTAGTTATTAGCATATAACAACACGATTATCTCCCAATTACGTGGATCGTTGCTCATGATGTCAATCACTGGATTGTCTGGTCCAGACTCGATTATTTACTGACCGCCGTCATATAGCTGGAATATTGCTGAGTGCAGCGTTAAACAACAAACAAACAACACAAACAGAAAACACAAAAAAATCATTCAGGAACCCGCAGCGAGTTGATCTTACGTGTCCAGTGTCTACGGCCATATTGACCACCCGATCACCAGTATAGAGTTCTTCACGACAAACACCCGTGCACCCTACCCTGACTTTCACCAGTATCGAACCTTCTGACCTGCCATCAGATGTACATCACACCTGTCATGCTATTCTTTAAAAGGTCCAGTTTGAGGAATAGACAGCTTGTTGTCAAATGTTCATTATATTGAACCAATTTTTCAATTTATGTACACGTGGAATTGAAGGAACTCTTTAAGCTGAAACTAAAGTGAATAATTTCAAAATTTATTTGAAACCATGTGTCGCCAACGGGGCTCAAACCCGCACAGTATGATTTAAGGATACACAGACTTCCTCCTAAACGTTATGTACAGTAAAACGACTGGTACACTATTTTCAGCGTCACACCTGAGCTGCACCGGGGCTACCTGGGTGCTGCGTACGTCAACACCGACCTCGGGATAACGCAGTTCCAGGGGGCGGTCGTGGAGTTCTTTCTGGCCTTCACCCTCATCATGACCATCCACGCCACAATTGACCCCAACAAACCCAACATGGGAAGTCACTCTCTGGCCATAGGTCTGACTGTCGGCATGCTGCACTTCTCAGGGGTAAGGCGACGCTGTGGTTGTGGACATTTCATGAGAGAGTATGGGCCACTATGGGGTGTATGCGTTTAGGGGTGTGCTGTGTCACAGGTGCGTTAACAGATAAGTCTAAACTTATTATTTTACCATTTTCACATATATAAAGGGTCTGCGGATCATACATGGATTTCACGCAATTACCTATGTTGTACATCAAACCCGGGCCTTTAATGTGGAGAGCGAACACCTTAACCTACAGGCTATCCCACTACCCCTCAAGTGCATTAGAACACTTTGAGCAAGTTACAGTTAGTACAAGTTATATCTTTACGAGGCAATATAACCTACTTGTAGATATTTTTTTTTTAAATGAGGCATTTTCGTATAATGTAAGATTAACAGTGGCCTGGAAAAATGCATTGAGGTATTTTCATTGTTACACTCATAACACAGACGGATATACTCTTGAGTAAAGTGTGGTTTGTAATTGAGGTCATTACCAAAACCTAATGTTAAATTATTCGTCTTAGAAATCCGTACATAAACACATGGCAAAACCAGATACGACCAGTGTGTCAGGCCTCGAGACGAATATGTCCGCTTCTTTGTTGGTAAGATGTAATTTGATGAGTCCTGGTATCAGTGATGTTGTTTCTTCGTATGTGATATCTTACACTTATTTGTTAGGTTGCGGCCAATAGTTGAAAGACGAGAAGATGGAAATATGATCACATAAATGATTGCGCCTCGCATTTCAATTCATAGACTGACGGTGGAACTTTCCTAAATCTCTGTTCCGTTTTATTTTGGGAAATCTATCAAAACGTCACTTAACATACACTTTGATTGGGAATCGTGACGGAGTGACATCTACAAGGCTTACATTTATGTTTTGGCATCATTTTGGGTTTTCTACCCACAACGTCTAGTGCGAAGCTTTCTTCATCATCAAACAAATGAAACGCCAGCTCGCCCCTGTGCCACCTATCTGTGAGCTGGTATCCTCTGTGCCCCCTAACTGTGAGCTGGTATCCTCTGTGCTTCTGACTGTGAGCTGGTGTCCCCTGTGCCACCTAACTGTGAGCTGGTGTCCCCTGTGCCACCTATCTGTGAGCTGGTATCCTCTGTGCTTCTTACTATGAGCTGATGTCGTCTGTGCCATCTAACTGTGAGCTGGTGTCCCCTGTGCCACCTAACTGTGAGCTGGTGTCCCCTGTCCCACCTATCTGTGAGCTGGTATCCTCTGTGCTTCTAACTATGAGCTGATGTCGTCTGTGCCATCTAACTGTGAGCTGGTGTCCCCTGTGCCACCTAACTGTGAGCTGGTGTCCCCTGTCCCACCTATCTGTGAGCTGGTATCCTCTGTGCTTCTGACTGAGCTGGTATCCTCTGTCCCACCTATCTGTGAGCTGGTGTTCCCTGTGTCACCTATCTGTCAGCTGGTGTCCTCTGTGTCCCCTATCTGTGAGCTGGTGTCCTCTGTGCCACCTATCTGTGAGCTGGTGTCCCCTGTGCTTCTGACTGAATTGGTATCCTCTGTGCCACCTATCTGTGAGCTGGTGTCCCCTGTGCTTCTATCTGTGAGCTGGTGTCCTCTGTGCTTCTGACTGAGCTGGTATCCTCTGTCCCACCTATCTGTGAGCTGGTGTCCCCTGTGTCACCTATCTGTGAGCTGGTGTCCTCTGTGCCACCTATCTGTGAGCTGGTGTCCCCTGTGCCACCTATCTGTGAGCTGGTGTCATCTGTGCTTCTGACTGAGCTGGTATCCTCTGTGCCACCTATCTGTGAGCTGGTATCCTCTGTGCTTCTGACTGAGCTGGTATCCTCTGTGCTTCTATCTGTCAGCTGGTATCCTCTGTGCCACCTATCTGTGAGCTGGTGTCCCCTGTGCTTCTATCTGTGAGCTGGTGTCCTCTGTGCTTCTGACTGAGGTGGTATCCTCTGTGCCACCTATCTGTGAGCTGGTATCCTCTGTGCCACCTATATTTGAGCTGGTATCCTCTGTGCCACCTATCTGTGAGCTGGTATCCCCATGTGCCACCTAACTGTGAGATTGTGTCCTCTGTGCCACCTATCTGTGAGCTTGTGTCCTCTGTGCCACCTAACTGTGAGCTTGTGTCCTCTGTACCACCTATATGTGAGCTGGTATCCTGTGTGCCACCTAACTGTGAGCTGATGTCCCCTGTGCTTCTATCTGTGAGCTGGTGTCCTCTGTGCTTCTGACTGAGCTGGTATCCTCCTGTGCCACCTATCTGTGAGCTGGTTTCCTCTGTGCCACCTATCTGTGAGCTTGTGTCCTCTGTGCCACCTATCTGTGAGCTGGTGTCCTCTGTGCCACCTATATGTGAGCTTGTGTCCTCTGTCCCACCTATCTGTGAGCTGGTGTCCCCTGTGCTTCTGACTTAATTGGTATCCTCTGTGCCACCTATCTGTGAGCTGGTGTCCCCTGTGCTTCTATCTGTGAGCTGGTGTCCTCTGTGCTTCTGACTGAGCTGGTATCCTCTGTCCCACCTATCTGTGAGCTGGTGTCCCCTGTGTCACCTATCTGTGAGCTGGTGTCCTCTGTGCCACCTATCTGTGAGCTGGTGTCCCCTGTGCCACCTATCTGTGAGCTGGTGTCATCTGTGCTTCTGACTGAGCTGGTATCCTCTGTGCCACCTATCTGTGAGCTGGTATCCTCTGTGCTTCTGACTGAGCTGGTATCCTCTGTGCTTCTATCTGTCAGCTGGTATCCTCTGTGCCACCTATCTGTGAGCTGGTGTCCCCTGTGCTTCTATCTGTGAGCTGGTGTCCTCTGTGCTTCTGACTGAGCTGGTATCCTCTGTGCCACCTATCTGTGAGCTGGTATCCTCTGTGCCACCTATATTTGAGCTGGTATCCTCTGTGCCACCTATCTGTGAGCTGGTATCCCCATGTGCCACCTAACTGTGAGATTGTGTCCTCTGTGCCACCTATCTGTGAGCTTGTGTCCTCTGTGCCACCTAACTGTGAGCTTGTGTCCTCTGTACCACCTATATGTGAGCTGGTATCCTGTGTGCCACCTAACTGTGAGCTGATGTCCCCTGTGCTTCTATCTGTGAGCTGGTGTCCTCTGTGCTTCTGACTGAGCTGGTATCCTCCTGTGCCACCTATCTGTGAGCTGGTTTCCTCTGTGCCACCTATCTGTGAGCTGGTGTCCTCTGTGCCACCTATCTGTGAGCTGGTGTCCTCTGTGCCACCTATATGTGAGCTTGTGTCCTCTGTCCCACCTAACTGTGAGCTGGTATCCTCCTGTGCGACCTAACTGTGAGCTTGTGTCCTCTGTGCCACCTAACTGTGAGCTTGTGTCCTCTGTGCCACCTATATGTGAGCTTGTGTCCTCTGTGCCACCTATATGTGAGCTTGTGTCCTCTGTGCCACCTATCTGTGAGCTGGTGTTCACTGTGCTTCTAACTGTACCGTATATTTTGTCCCCAGATCACCTACACCGGAGCCAGCATGAACCCCGCTTGGTCCCTTGGGCCAGCAGTCGCCATCAACTTCTGGAAGGACCACTGGGTATGGTCGCCACATCATCCACACACCACAACACACACTACAACACATGTACATCACAGACCCGTGAAGATCCGGGTTAGAATAGGTCTTCAACAACCCATGCTTACCGTAAATGGCGACTAACAGGATTGGGTGGTCTGGCTCGCTGAATTGGTTGAAACATGTCCTTGTATCCCAATTGCGTGGATCGATGCTCATGATGTCGATCACTGGATTATTTACAGACCGCCATCATATAGCTGGAGTTCGGTGTTAAACAACAAAGAAACAAACACAGACTACAACACATGTACATCATCATCTTCCCGAGTCAAGGGAGTTAACTGACTATAAAAGTCCAGTTTCCACCCTTGCCGAACTAGGATGTAATTCCGGATTTTCATTTTGGGTTAACTAACGAGTCTATGCATTGTCCAATCAAAATCGCGTATTGAACTGGACATCCGGTTCGTAAACAAAATGGATTTCAAGTGCAGATTTGGTAGACTGCAGGATTTGTAACTGAGCCAACTGGGCGTCACCATTTTATGTTTAATAATCAAGGTAATCAAGTAAGTTGATGCACTTCGCGGGATAAGACCCATTTATTACAATTTAGATCTTGGTTATAGATCAGATCATCTTGACTGGGTGCCGCCATTTTGTTTGAAGCAAATGCAAGTGAAATGAGAGATGGAATCTGCTTGGTCAAATAGGAGGGACATAGAAGGGACATAATTCGTAATAGCCACTGTCGGCGCTACGATCGAGCCTGGAAATTCCAGCCCAGTTCAACATACTACAGCACATTGCACAGCACTAACAACTGCTACAGCACACACGTGTACTTCACACACTACAACACGTATAATATATTATCGCAGTAAAAAGGAATCTAACATGTTTTATGCGACTTTTTTTTATTTTCCTACATAAAGTTTCACATTCTATATATTTGATAGTTCAGTAAAGTACGTTTATAACGAACACGCTTATAACGAACTGACGGATATTACGAACTCAATGTTTGGTCCTGGCCATTTGCTGTATAGATTTTGTATATATGCTTATAACGAACTACGGTTATAACGAACTAAAATCAGTTGTCTATTTGAGTTTGTTATAACCCTAGTTTACTGCAGATGTCAGTGGCCCATTATATCATGTATCAATCTAGCGATCCGCGAATTAAGATGCTAAGTTCACATTGCCTTGACATATGTTGTGATACTCTAATTTTAATGGACAGTTAGCACAATGCCTAATGGTTTCAGAGATAATTTGATAAACTGTGGACTGACTCGAATAGCAACTATGTGCAGGTATACTGGGCAGGGCCAATACTTGCGGGGACGGTGGCATCTCTCGTTTACAAGTATACCATCAACCCCTATAGAGGTGTACCCACGATGGAAGAAGCCGTGAAAACACTGCGTAAGTCGAAACTCAACATCTTAAGTGCACATAAGAGAAAAAATATAGCTGAAATATACAATGCTTGTTTGTTTATGTGTTGTTTAACGCCGCACTCAGCAGTATATGACGGCGGTCTGTAAATAATCCAGTCTGGGCCAGACAATCCGGTGATCGATCCACGGAATTGGCATACGAAGACATGCATCAACCAAATCAGCGAGCATGACCACCCGATCCTGCCTCTTACGACAAGCATGGTCACCTTTTACGACAAGCATGTGTAGCAGGTTTAATGCTTAACTACAGTTGTTATATTTCCATAGAACTTTACCAATAAATGGCTATCCTTGACCGAACTCCATGTCAGACAACTGACAATAATCACTGATGAGTTATCCCCCTTTACATGATAAAATGCATACAAATACTCAAAATGTTTTATCAAACTTGACCTGAAATATTTATCTTGATCTCAGAGAAATACTAATAACACTATCATACACAAGATACAGAACCCTGTGCTGTTTTGAACACAGACTGAAAGAACATCTTCAACTGACGGCTGATTGTTATGAGGCAAGACAGAATTATCTCCCCTTAATTGGAATGCAACTGTTATTCCTGTGCAAAGATAATTATTTCTTAACCTCACAATTATTCTATAACAATGCTGTAACCCTTATACATGTATTTACAAAGAGACTACTGCACAAACATATTTGTCAACATTGGACAAATGAATACTTTCATGTGCATAACACGAGGGAAAACTTTCTTTTTCACTTCATAATGCAAAACGCATTAACCTACAAAAATATCCTGATCAAACCACTTGTACCATAGTGAGGCATAAATTGTTGGGATTCTACCCTTAGTAGTAGCTTTTGATCAAGTCTTAACCTTCCATTAACTTGCATTGAACGGGACGTCGAGTTTGTTTACTTCCGCTGTGGCCGACAACCAAGGGATGTCACTCTTCCGCTAAAACACTTACGTAGCCCGCTAAAATATCATTCCGACAAAACTAGTTTGTACTAAGGCATCAACGACAGTGTATTCAATGCGAAAACTATCAAAGAACTATTTCTCCTCTATCTCATGTCCAAACTAGCATGATATAACAACATTTTCGGAAACATCGATCTGCAACTGACAACTATGGCGGCAACGAACAGACGTTTTGCCGATGACGGGCTTGCTGACTTCTAAAACTTAAATCCAGACTTACTGTGTGTTGATACATACATAAATTCATACAACATGATCTATATGATTTGTGGGGCAAGGGGAATGCGTATCTATGCATTGATTCCTCACCTGAAGCAAACGAATCCAATAGATAAGATGAACAAATGTTTTCACATTCCTGTTTCAATACAGTATGTCTGCGCATGTGTTAAACGCACATGGCAGTCATGTACTGTTTACCCCCAACAAACTATGCAATCATAGGCTTCTGGTGAATAACCATTTTCTTACAACCTGATAATAATCTGACGTCATGTTTATAACACAAATCTGTTCTAAGAAAACAGCATAAATCAACTTTAGATGGTTTCAATCTAAATTCTTGTAATACCTGATAATCTACCATGATAATTATACTACTATCATAAGACAGCTTAGTCATGCTTTTACACATGGTCGCTTTTTACGACAAGCATGGTAGCCTTTTACGGCAAGCATGGGTTGAATCCTCCTACATATAATACACAATCACCCGATTCATTCATTCATCAATGATAATGATGATTATTGTTCTAATACTTATAGTAATGATGAGTTATTTCAGTATGTTCTGTCGTTAATTCGTTATACATGCAACTTACACTGTTAACTTATAATTTTTATGTTGTTTCCATCCTTCCAGTTCAAGATCGGTCGTTCATCGTTGTGCCACGAGACTACGTCATGGTCGAAAAGAAGGACGACATTGACGATTTCACTCAACTGTGACGTCACTTCCTGGTTGTCACATAATGGATGAATTATGGATTGCACTTAAACTGTCAATTACGTCATCGGCATGGCATTCTGTAACGGATGTACCGTATAGTTTCTAACAAACTAATATTTTTTAACCAAGGGGGCTTCCCTGTGTGAGTTAATCGGGTTTCGCAATCGGAGAGTCTCTTTTACCCCTGACGTCATCCCGGGGGCCCCTTGGGCACGCCATCCCAGTTCGCCGCGATTATATTTCTAGGGTCAGCAATATAAACGTTCGACACCTTCATCACTTCGGGCTTTCCTCCCACTGTAAGCTTACACGTCCTGATATAACTTGAATCCTGTTAAAACCAACTCACTCACTCACTCACTGACGTCATGACAGTCACGATGCAGTACATATCCTGATGTACCCTATTTTCGAACAGTTAAGATGACATTGCTGATATTTCGAGGGATGAGCGAATCAAAACTCAAATTCTGCTTCACACCAGTAGGTGATGTCTTCAAAAATAGAATTCAGCTCAATTCCGAAATAAAAACAATCCTCGATAAACGTTTTGGGGGGCTTTTGGTTTGGTTTGTTGTTTAACGCCGCACTCAGCAATATTCCTGCCATATGACGGCGGTCTGTAAATACAACCAGACAATCCAGGGATTGATATCAAGAGTATCGATCCTAGGCAATTGGGATCGATGACATGCATCAACCAAGTCCTCGAGCCTGTCCACCCGATCCCGTTAGTCGTCTCTTACGACACGCATAGTCGCCTTTTACGGATAGCATGGGTTGCTGAAGACCTATTCTACCGCGGATCTTCACGGGTCTCGATAAAAGGCGTGACCTCCATTGCCTCGACTGCACTCGAGTGACGTCACCTATTTTCGAACACCTGATTGGTTTCGTACTTTAGCGGGATTTCCATGAATGAAGAGACATGTTTTGGCGCACAGTTTTCAATATAATTATTGCAAGTAGGCATTGAAACTCAAAAAGTCATTGAACGTTTGAAACCTATTCACAAAATATGAATATTTGTCAAATTAAAGCGTTCACGCTATTTTACTCTTTCTCTTCAACAGGACACAGCCGCCCAAATTCTGAATGTCGACGGAATGTTCTGACAGGTATACAGTACTTCACATGAACCCAATGTTGCCATGCTGAATGTGTGCATTCTTAAGTCGGAAGCCAGGTTGCATGCCATCATCGGCCCTGCATGGGCCCAACGTCGGCAAACGTCATTGGCCCTGCATCGGCACTGCACCGGCCCAGCGTCGCCAAACATCTTTGGGCCGATGAAGTTTTGCTCATCGGATCGACGTTGGCCCAACGTCGGCAAACTTAATAGGCCCTGCATTGGCACTGCAACGGCCCAGCATCGGCCCAGCGTCGGCAAATATCGTTAGGGTGATGAGGTTTTGCTCATCGGATCGACATCGGCCGACGTCGTAAATAATGGCCAGCCACAATTATTATCGGCTCAACATCGGACTGACATCGGCCCAACGTCGACAATAATTATCGGCGCAGCATTGGGTAGACATTGCCTGACAGTAATTATAGGTTTAGAATCAGCCTTGTCCAACATGTCGGCATGCAGCTTTGATGACGTCACACCTCTCGTTTGAGTGCGACAGATCTATATCAAAAACGGCTGTTCGAAAATAGGGTACTCGACGATATAATAATCAGTGAGATTCGAGGAATTACGGATTATGGGTCCCGAGTGAAGGTATGATGTAAGGCCTAGCTTTTGGCCAGGGACTTACATCATTCACACCCGAGTGACAGACAATCCGCGAGGGTAGTAGGTTATCCCATATATTACTCATTGCCATTTTCAGAAAAAAGGAATAAAAATGTATGACGTGTCAACCCAACGGAGAAACGTCACTGAAGTCAACCTTTTGGTTATGTTCAATTGGTGACGTCATGAACAGTGGATGACGTCTTATAACACTCTCCTACCCAAGGTTTCATGCGACCAGGCCAGCGCCATGTGACGATTCTTTACATCTTACACATTCCATTCAAGATATTGCATATGTTTTTCATTTATTAAATTTTGACAAGCCTACATATCTAGATAAACATATGTCATAGAATGGTTAATTTTCATTGAGCAAATATCCTACATCGTGAAAAACTATTTCATTTGCGTGGTTATCCTATGTTTCCATTGGTTGTACGCTCCACGTGCTGTCATTGAAGCCCTACGGAGAGCTAGCGATACGGTCACTTAAATTATTGAAGTCAATTTTTAAATAATCCATTGTTCCATTGACATAATATAGAAATTTTTAAGCAATCACGTTTCATGGATATTTGCCAAATATTGGTTTCGAAATGTTTAATGTTGCATTTGCTTGAACATGTAAAGCGACAACTTCTACCATACCACCACTGTACATATGTAACTCTCACGGTCGCTATTCTAGAATGCGTCGTAAATCACACAGGGCAACACAGTCCCAAGAACAGTTAACGTAAATATTACATATATGATTGATTGATTGATCTTTGAAAGTTTTATATATTTTCGGGCAACGAGATCCATTTACACCTTGTCCAAAATGAAGGTTTACAAAATTCCTAATAATGTTATAAAGTTTAGAGCCTGCCACAGGCTTTCCCCCCTGGATGCGAGAGGGACATATATGTCCCTCCTCTTCAACCCTCACTTTGAAGTCGAATAAAATTCAAACTGCACCACGTACACAGATACACTTCACAGTTTTGAATACGGTGGGAAATTCCCTGTTTTGTCATAGCATCCACTGATATTTTAGGCCAAGCAAAATAACTGAAAATGACCTCTGGAAATTAGGTACATAGTAAACGTCGCCATTTTTACACATTACTAAATCAACACTCACGACGTTATTTACAGCATATTTTGAAATATAAATTTCGGATATATACTCGGAGAAATGAATTTTCAAAAAGAGGATAGTCTATTAGTGATCACGGGTATCTGTCTTTTATCAAATCACCAATGATCATAACAAAACATCGCCGATAACCCTAGAAGCGTTTAGAATGTTTTAGAAAATACCCAAACACGGACGCCGAAGTGAACTTTCCGCCATAATGGATAGTGTTTACAAAATCACGTTTCACATATACCGTTTATGAGATGCCTGTAACATCACGTTTATTGCAAACTCAGCTGCGATACATACATCCTTGAATTCCTCATACAGAGTAGAAGCAAATGACAAGTTGTCTTTTCACCAATACAAAGTGTCTAGATGAAATCAGGCAAAATAAATTAGGTGTGAAAACGATCGCTGTGCTCGAAAAACTGCACTTGTTTGAAATGTAGACAAAGCAAAATTCAGATTTTACACAGTGTAGCATTTTCTCCTATTTTGATTTATCAATTCGTCTATTCATTGAACACATTGGCTCAACAATTTCAGAATATGCATGGGAAAAGAATCGTATGAAGAATTAGGTAACTACAAAAAGATACATTGCAATAAATGATATAGATACGTTCAACAGAAATTGTCCAAGTTTACGTCCTGTGTGACGCCATGACTTACGCAAAAATCAGGCACAACGACAACGGTATTTAACGGAATTTCTGACTATTTCCGTTGGTTCCAATGAAAAATATCACAACAAATAACATTACACTGATTGTCAGAATGTTTCTGATTACTTACATGTCACATTTATGTACGTGTATAGTCCTTTCCAATAAGTTCTTATCTCCCCTTAATTTATTATCCCCCCTTGCGAACTCTTTCGAAAACAGAGATAAAACGGCCCTATCACGCGCCACACTCCGGCGCAGTGGTGACCCAGCACAATACTATGCTGGCTGGCTGCCGGCCGCAAGGAACTCTGGGTAGAAGTGATCACGCGCTTGACGTTGACTTCCGGAAAGGGTTTTTGAAAATGAACGAAACGAGAACGAAACAGCGGCATCTGCTCAACTTATAGTGAGTAAGTGAGTTGGGTTTAACGCCGCTTTTAACATTATTCCAGTTATATCACGGCGTGTCAGCTTATTGTGGGAGGAAAGCCGGAGGTGATGCAGGTCCCAGACGTTTACCACTTCGGTGAAACCCACGACCACGGGTATGGTGCTGACAAACCTAGAAACATAATCGTGGCAAACCGGGATTCGAACCCACAATCATAGGTTTCTGGCGTGTCCAGGGGACGCAACTCTGCACAGCGAATCGCGGCGCCTTAGACGACTGGGCCACCCGTGCCCCCTGCTCAACTTATAGAGGGAAGGGGGTAGATGGACGGGTGGTGACATTGCATAGGTTTCCAGCGAATGAATCCCTAAAGATAGCGTGGATTCGACGGCTCAATTTTGTCTAAAAGGATTACAGACACAACACCACCCAGCGCCAATGTTCGGAACACTTCAAGGATGGTAATTTCAGACGGTGTTTAATACCATCCATTTTCGGGGGAAAAGTTCAACACGTATCAGGTAAAGTCTACATAAACAATATATTACTGAGGCTTAAAGTTCGGGTTATTTAATGATGCATGGATACCCATAAAGACTAAATACTTTTCAAAATGATAATCATTACGATATTGTTAAAAAAATCAACCAGAATTAGAGAATAATATTGGAATTATTCACATATTTTTAGAAACTTCAAAATGTAGAAAATGTATTATTTCGGAGCATGTTTACTTGTATAGAGAAAATACATGATTGCAATGAACATGAGTAATCTGAAATTAGATCTATTACTAATGTTAACCCAGAGAATGGACAACAAGGATCCGATTGCAATAATCATAGTTATTATTTTATTTTTTATCCTATAAATTTTCAGTTTGATTCCAACTCAGATGAGAGTACCATACAAAGGGAGTCCTAAGCACCAGTAGCTGAGCAATCCAGGGACAGTGACAATGAGAGTGAGCATTCCGTGTCCGATCATCAGCAGATTAATATCAAGTCCTCAGGATTAAGTGTGGAAACTTCAGTTGTCATCCATGACTATTGTGGACAAATTGAAGATCATGCCGCAAGTCATCTTGTAAACAAGTGTGAACAGGCTAATTGTCCTCCTTCAGGCATTGATGCATCCACTCAGACAGATATATTTGATAATTTATGTGTGACTGTGTCAACTCAACTGAGTGATAATAAATCAAATGCTATATCAAAACCAAAAATGATAGATCTGGAAATTCAGTGTAGTAAGCCTGACGAATAATGTAAACAAGTCTGGTTCATGTAATTGGTCATAACTATTGAGGCATACTGTGGTTCAATGTCATTGATGTGTTGGTGTAAATAAAAGCAACAAAACCCTTTCTATATTCATACTTTATCATGAGCATGCGCAGTGGTAGAAACTAACATTTTTAGTCTGCTAGTTGTTATAATGATATATAGCAGAACCCTTACAAATGGCAAATTTCTATTAGTCCCATTGATACCTTAACTGTTGAGCAGTTGGGCAAGAACTTCGGGACTAGGGTCAATTTTTAACGCTGGTGTGTTTATGAACCACTTCCAAATGATGAGACCAGGTTTTGCGAAAAGGTGAGAGTGTCTTCACATCTTATCTGGAATAAATTCTTTTTACTGTTCATTGTAATCTTGTTGTGTTCAGGTGCCTGTGGTGAGATTGCTTACATCGCTGTTAGACTGTTAAGA